AGCAGCCTCTGGGTCTTTCTGCAGGTCTCTGTCCAGCATCAGCTTCACTTACAACACCTGACAGTGTAACACTACCGGCTGCTCACTAAAGTATTCTCTCATATCAGATCACATACCTGTTACAGCGCCGCCTCTCTTGCTGCTTAATGACTGCCTTACTTTGTAAGACACCAGAGCTGCTGTCAGTTTATCACTTTTTGTGTCTGTGAACACAACATTTCATCCAAACTCAAAGTTTACCAACCCATCTATCCACCCACCCACCCGCCCATCCATCTGCACATCCATCAACAAATTAGGGTTGTGCGATATGACCAAAATCTCATATCCCGATATAAGACATTTATTATCCCGACAACAATACATATCACAAAAACTTTACATTTTCTGTAAAGTTTGTGAATCTCGGGTTATTTACCGTAATTGTCGGGCTATAAGCCGCTACTTTTTGCACAAGCTTTGAACCCTGCGGCTTTTAGTCAGGTGCGGCTTTTCTATGGATTGTCCATGATTTTTGTCATATCGTAAGACGATTTGTTTTGTTTGTCCCGCTGTCGTACGGCACTACGTTGCCTGGCGGAAGGGCATGTGATCAGACACACAGCATCGGGGTTCAAGAGTGGTATGTTGGTCACATGTCCATCCGCCAGGCAACATAGTGCCGTACAAAGTAGCGCAAAAAACAAACTTCAAAGTAGCGCTACGCGCTCAGCGGGAGGCGTGGATGATGAGCGGCGATAAACTTGCGAAAAGTACTTATTTAACTCTGTTACTTTTTCTGTCTCAGTAACTTTACCTTACTGGGTTACTTTGTCAGATTCTGTGTTGCTGAGTTTGACCTAAATATTCTGTTATAGGTTGCACATGAATTTTGCAACTTTTAGGAATAAAGTATATCATCACTGCTTTGCTAACACACCCCTCCACCCTGACCTCCACTCTGTGCTGATTTTGTGATTCTGGGGAGCTTTGCTGTCCCATGTTTCAAATGTGATGAATGATGACTGACTGAGGGACACCGCCCTATCGTGCCTCTTTGACTCTCCAGATCTTCAAAATAAGCTTCATGCTTTATTCAGTGAGACCTGAAAGCAGTGACTGAGACCATGAACTCATCAGGATGATGTTCACTGAGCTCAGAGATCAGGGGAGTGGGAGGCTCAATCGCTCAAAGACTTCTATACAATCAGACAGCCAGAGGAGTCGCCCCCTGCTGGCCATCAGAGAAATTGCCACTATAAGACAACTGTGCAGTGGATGGCTACCTACATGCATGTTTCATGTGTTCAGGTTATGGTTGCACTGGACTGATGTAGTGCAGACAGAGGAAAAGGTAGCAGGTAAAGTGGGCTTGGCCTTTATTGGAGGTGACCTCAGGTTGGCCCGAGAACTTGATGGATGGAACACATATCTACATTTGCTGTGGACTGCTGCAAGTACATCAGTTGCTCGCAAAGGACAATTTGACTTCATTCATGTTTCTACTGACATGACAGGAGCTGCCCCGTGCTGGGCATCAGGAGGAACGCAGGTTTAAGGCGCTTCAGTCTGCAGACCCACAAGCTTTGCCCATTTTTTCCGCCTCTGGTGGCGGCGCTCCGAGAATGCAAACAGAGAGTTTGTTTAGAGGAGATAACAATATTTAAATTTTATAATCAGGTTTGCAGCTGCTTGTATGAGCTGAATCATTACAGCTCTAATTCGCTGCACACGCTAAAGTATTCTCACTGCGCCTCGAGTCTGCAAACAGTTAACAAGTTCTCGAGTACACACACTCACACACACACCGTATTCACAAAAACTCTGTCACGCTTAGCCTTTCCCTCCAATCAATTTGCGACACTCTTGTCTGAAACGTACTTTAATGTTCCAGGGCTCTTTCTTCTTGCCACTGCTGTTTAACACACTTCTATATGATCCTCTTATCCCCCCACCCCCGTCGTCTTTTATCAGCATGGAGCATTCGAGCTTCTCTCGCTGCACATCTTCACATCATGCAGTCAGACTCCTGATGACAGGTGATTGGACTGCAAGCCGGCCCCTCCCCCCACGCGCCTGTCCTGCACGCGTGCAAAGGAGCGGCCACAGATTAATGTTGTGTTTGGTGACGTCGTGTTAGAGGAAATAAGGGAAACTTTACACAACACCTGCACCAGTGTCCTCTGTGTGTCTGTGTGTGTGCACCGTGTTTACATGACTTTGTGAGGACCAAAAATTGCTACTATAGTTGCAACTTATGGGGACAAAGTGTTCGTCCTCACGAGTCTGAAGACATTTTTGAGACTCAAAATGTGGTTTCAGTGTCAGGGTTACAGGTAGGTTAGGATTATGGTTAGGGTTAGACATTCATTTTTGATGTTTAGGGTAAGCAGCTAAGGAAAGGGTTATGTCATTTAGATGTCCTCACTAAGATATGAAGACAAGTGTGTGTGTGTGTGTGTGCGTGCGTGTGTGTGTGTGTGTGTGTGTGTGTGTGTGTGTGTGTGTGTGTGTGTGAAAGAGAGTTTGTGAAAGAGAGTGTGAGTGTGTTAGGAACAGAAAGTGCTTTTGAAGCTGTGTTGGTTGCAGCACTCCTGCGTTGACCGTGTTGTTTGGACTCGTGTTAATCTGAGAGAGCAGAAGCCAATTTACAGAGCCGTGAGTCTATTTCACAGATGTTTGACCACACACACACACTAACATACACACACACACACACACAGAAAGAAAGTGTAAATGACGCTGTATCGCTCAGGGCGTCTGACATTTAAACACTCCTCAGAAACGTGTGAGACCGAGACGGAGAGCCATGCACAGCTTTAATGGAGTCCTGCTAACATGCTGACAGAGAGTGAAAAACACATTTTTAATACATCGATTCATTTAAGTGCATCTTTTCATGAAATCCTTCATCGATGGCATCCAAAAACATCCTTTCCATGTTTTATTTTTTGGTGCTGGCTCATTGCATGAGGATAAAGAAGATAACTCTGCAGGGATCCTGTGGTGATGATAACTGAGTCATCAGCAGCCGTGATATCAACAGCGAGGAGGTTCTTTGGAACGTATGAAGGAGAAGACTGAACACACACATCCAACAGTTTCACTCAGTGACTGCAGGGCGTCTGAACCTCACAAGCAGCTTTCAGCACCTTACATGACCCTGGTAGATTTAGTGCCTGAGCCTAACCGCTTCGCTGTTCTCATTTCATCCTTCAAACATTCCTGATGAGCAACTATGCGTTACATATGCCTCAAGAAAAACCAATACTTTACCAAAATCAGTTTATTGAAACTCATTTAAAATTTTTGCCATTTGCACTTCAGGGCATCTGAGAAGCCCAGGTGGTACCAACAGTCATGTGACACATGATACAAAACTAGGATAGGTCCTAAAAACTCCCTGAAAAGCCTTTCAGTTATTCAAAATGCTGCAGCAAGAGCAGATTTCTCCTATATTGGCTTCCCTTCATTGGCTCCCTGTTAAATCCAGAATTCAAAATCCTGCTCCTCACATACAAGGTGCTGAATAATCAGGCTCCGTTTTATTTTAATGACCTTATAGTACCACATAACCCCATTAGAGCGCTTTGCTTTGCTCTCACACTGCAGGCCTACTTGTTGTTCCTAGAATTTTTAAAAGTAGAATGGAACCAGCTTGCAGTTTGGATTCAGGAGACAGACACTATCTCTACTTTTAAGATTAGGCTTCAAACTTTCCTTTTTAATAAAGCATATAGTTAGGACAGGATCAGGTGACCCTGAACCCTCCCTTAGTTATGTTGCAATAGGTGTAGGCTGCTGGGGGATTCCCATGATGCATTGAGTGTTTCTTCTTCACTCAGTATGTGTTTATACATCTCTGCATTTAATCATTAGTTATTATTAATCTCTGGCTCTCTTCCACAGTGTGTCTTTGTCCTGTCTTCCTTCTCTCTCCCCAATCGGTCGCAGCAGATGGCCGCCCCTCCCTGAGCCTGGTACTGCTGAAGGTTTCTTCCTGTTAAATGGAAGTTTTTCCTTCTCAGTGTCACCAAAGTGCTTGCTCATAGTCTGATTGTTGGGTTTTCTCTGTATTATTATAGTGTCTTTATCTCACAACAGAAAGCATCTAGAGGTGACTGCTGTTGTGATTTGGTGCTGTATAAATAAAGTTTAATTATGTTAATAGAGGTGAGGATAAGTGAGATTCATATACCAGGACATGTGAGTATATTTCATTATCCTGCCATGGTCTCACTCTGGATGTTTTATAGTTAGAAACAACACGTAACTCTGCCACTGATCTCACATAACACTATGATTACACACACACAGCAGCACTCTCCACAAAGAGATGTGCTAATCAGAGCTTTTTATTGGCCACTAAACGAGCCACACCACCCACACCTGTGTGCTTTAAACAAAAGACTGCATGACGTTCCAAATCTGTGAATACTTTAAACTTTCCACGGCAGACATTTCCACAGAGGTGCAGTGAAAAGCAACAGAAACGTAACAGCGGGAAAAAACTTGAAACTCTCCAAAAAATACTTATGAGCAATTTTGCAGCATTTTTTCTGCATTTAATAAACTTAATATTTCATAATTTCATTAAGAGTAATCTGCAGGTTAATCAATAATGAAAATATAATAATTAGCTGCAGCCCTGAGCACATTTCCACCTCCACACTGATCCATGTGGGATGTCAACGATATGTGACAGCCTGTAATGAAAAGGAGCAGAGGTTATCTCTCTGCCCTCTGAATAATGAGCGCAGTATGTAGAGGCACAAACGCATTTTGGACGGAAAATAGGTTTTTATGAAAGAGCTGCTTCAGCTGCACGCTCTCTCACACGTCTGTAATTACAAAGACGCATTCATTCACGCACTCACAGATGGAGCGAGTGGCCCGAGTTTAATCAGCCCCTCCTCCACCCACACCAACCTAGATGAGTGTGTGTCCGTTGCTTCAGTCTGCTCCCACAAACATACACACACACACACACACACACAAACACACACACACAGTGGCGTTACCTGAGATGATGGAGGCATGTCTGAATTCCTCAGAGAAGTGGATCGGCTCGTATGGAGACGTCTCGTAAAACTCCTCCCCTGAGGAACAGAAAACAGAAACATGTTCAGTGTACAGTCCCAACCGTCTGTATCTACTCGCGCACGACCTTCAAAGGTCTCCTGTCTGTGCATGAAAACGTTTCTCAACCTCCAGAGCCAAAAACCCAAACCTGCAGTTCCTCTAACGACCAGCGCAGGCAGCAGTGAGTCCTCATGGACTCCCATGTTAACTCACCTGTTTAAATTGTATTGTGGTAACTTTGGTAAATCATCTGAACATTTGACCTGGTGTCAGTGTCAGACAAAATACTCACGATAGCCTTTAGTTTCACACAGAGAAGCAGAAGTGCTGTGGGGGCAGTGATAGCTCAGTAGGTAAAGTGGTCGCCCCATGATCGGAAGGTCGGCGGTTCGAATCCACTTAACGGGCGCCTGCTTAGTGGGCTGCCCACTGCTTCACTGAGTGAATGGGTCAAATGCAGAGAAAAAACAAGTAAATTCCCCATGGGGATCAATAAAGTATCCATTATTATTATTATTTAATGATACTGTATATATATTAAAAATACACAATAAACTTAACAGAAATGTTTGTATTAAGAAACATAAGTCCGCATGTATGATGAGCCTCTGAAGGTCTGACCTGAAGTATTTTACATTCAAACCAGAGTTTTACTGGAAGCAGTAACCATCAGAAATCACTGTGAGCAACAAAAACCACCACAGAGTGCCTTCTTACAGCTCATGGTGTTCCACAGGGCTCTGTCATTGATGTCGACAGGTGGATGGTGACACAAGCAGCTGTAGCTGCTAGCTGTCTACTAGGACTCACCTGAACTCGACCTCTGGTCTGTGTTTGTGCTTTTGGAGCCTTTTGGAGCCTTTTTAATGACATCATGTGACCAATAATATGGCTGCTGTGAAGTTACTGTACTAACTTCACAGGCAGGGATAGCTCAGTAGGTAGAGTGGTAGCCCCATGATCAGAAGGTCGGGGGTTCGATTCCCCTGAACAGCTACCCTGAGGTACCCCTGAGCAAGGTACCGTACCCTACACACTGCTCCCCGGGCGCCCAATGGCTGCCCACTGCTTCACTGAGTGAATGGGTTAAATGCAGAGAGGAATTTCCCTACGGGGATCAATAAAGTTCTCCTTCTAACAGAGCATCCACAAAGGCAGAGCTTCAATTTAGATGTTTGTTTTTTTTATACAATTAGGGGATGCAGACTATTAACCACACAAATATAGTCCAAAAAACCCAAAATGGCAACGGCTGAAACACTAAAACCTATGTGCAAAATTGCGTGCCTTTTTTTTTAACACTGAGCCTGTTAAACATAAAAAAAGCATGATCATTTGTCTCCTTTTTGAACATTGTGTTGTTTCAAGAATGAAAGAGAAATTTAATGTGAGAATTTGTTGTGGGAACAGTAAAAAAAGCTCCTATATGACAGTTATTTTCTCTTCTCGATCTTATCCCCAGTAATTTTTTCCTTTATGGGACTTCCACGCTGAGCCGAACCCGACTGTCATCCTTTCTCATGTTTCTAATTTTATTGGAGCTTTACCGCCAAAGGTTTCTGTTTGTCAGAGAACGCCGTGTTCACACGTCTAAAATGAAGCGAGGACGACAGACAAAAGAAACAAAGCGCTACAGAGAAGCCAGGCCTGCAGCACTGAGTCACACACTCAAACAGGAAAAGAGCTGGATCCGGATCATTCTGGAAACTTATCATCACTGCAGCTCATTTAAATCAGACAGAAAACAAACATGGCTGATTACAAAGCAATCTACGTATCACGCTTCCGAGAACATTCAGAGCAATTCAGCAGCAGTTTCAGTCCACAGGAGCACAGAAAACAACTGTTGACAGCAGCTTTGGTGTACCTGATCTTCTGGAATATAAACAATTTAAGGCTTAAACAAGCTACTGTGACATCATTCCACTTCTTGTTTCAGCTCTACAGCCGTTCACACAGTCATCGTGCAATGAAGCATGTGTGGAGCGTAGAGAAGCTTACAAGAATAAAAATAAATTATGTAAAAATAAAGTTGTGACTGATGTGACTCACACTGAAGTTTCTGAATTCAAAAATAAAGAATGAAGATGATGGACATCTTTGCTTTTTCTTCAGATGGTTTGAGCCGTCTTTTGGGAATACCCACAGAATTGGTAACCTGACAGCAGATGGACCGCTTGACAGAGGCACATCTGAACTCTTTCTTGGAAACTGACTGAAAACTACTGAGCACTGCGTCACTATGGTCAGCAGGTAATTGGATGAAACATCTGTCTCTCACAAATCAGTCACCTGGAACTGTTGAAAAGTTTTTTCTGGAGAAAACTATTTGCTGCTGTTCTCTACTCTCAGAAATCTGAAGGAACAGATGTAGTCGATACTGTCATGGTCCGCGGCCCGGCGTCCGAGGTGCTGATGGGATGCCCACTCCCGTGGGCGTGGCTGCTAACTCCACACCTGCATCCCATCCCGGGCGATCACCAGGTGGACTATTTAATCCTGCCCAGCCTGCTGCTCCACGCCAGTCCATAGTCGTCCTTCTGCGGTAACGTACACCTGCGGGAAAGCCCTTATGTAAACCTATCCGTGTGAACTAACACTAACTCTGCCTTGTATACTCAGATCACAGCTCGGCGTGTTTGAGCCACCAGCCTGTCCACCTGCCTGTCCGGAATTTGGATCAAAATCAGCCCCAGCCGCCTCGACCTTTCTGAAGCTTCTCCCCACGGACCCTCACCCCTCCCTCCGGTTCCCTCGGCCCCGCTATCATCGTAAGACGCGTACTCTACTTCCCTTCGTATGCTGCCGTTTTCCCACACCCCAATAATCCTTTTTTCCTTTTTCTGTTTCAGCCTCCCACAGTCCCGCTCTCGGCGTTCCTGCGCGATTCACCTCCCGGTCCCTCGGTTTTTCTGGTTCCGTGCGTTTTTTCCCTTCTACCCTCCCGGGACACCCTCAGTTATAATAAAGTTTATTTTTTGTTCTCTCGTACCGCTGTGTGTGTGTGTTCTGCTCCTGGGTCCAGCTTGTGCCTGGAACTTCGGTTCATGACAGATACATATGCAAGGATGCTCTTCAACGACTACAGCTCGGCATTTAACACCATCATCCCCTCAAAACTTGCCACGAAGCTCGTCGACCTTGGGCTGGGAACACCGATCTGCAGATGGATTCTAAACTTCCTCACAAACAGGCCCCAGGTGGTGAGAGTTGGTAAACACACCTCCTCATCACTCATCCTAAACACAGGTACGCCACAGGGTTGTGTGCTTAGCCCCCTCCTATATTCCCTGTTCACACACGACTGTGTTGCTAAACACGTGTCCAACATCATCATCAAGTTTGCAGATGACACAACCATCGTAGGCCTCATCACAGGCAATGATGAGACGACCTATAGAGAGGAGGTGATGGCGCTAGAGAGTGGTGTCTGGAAAATAACCTGACTCTCAACATCAGCAAAACTAGAGAGATTTTAGTGGACTACCGGAAACGACCAGTCAGGGAACACCAGCCCAGCCACATCAACGGTGTCAAGGTCGAAAGGGTCAGCAGCTTCAAGTTCCTTTGAGTCAACATCACAGAGGACTTCTCCTGGACCCTTCACACAGACACTGCTATCAGGAAAGCTCGCCAGCGGCTTTACTTACTGAGGAGGCTGAGGAAGTTTAGCATGAACGCCAACATCACCTACATTTTTACAGGTGTGCAATTGAGAGCTTGCTGACGAGCTGCATCACAGTTTGGTACGGAAGCTGCTCTGCCAGCAGCCGTAAATCACTACAGAGGGTGTTGAAGGCAGCAGAGCACATCACTGGCACGAGGCTTCCTGCCATTCAGGACATTTATCTCCAGCGATGCCTCCGTAAAGCACACAGCAAGGACCACAGCCACCTCAGCTCTTCTCCTTGTTACCATCTGGCAGACGTTACAGGAGCCTGTCTGCTCGGACTGCAAGACTCAAAAACAGTTTCTACCATCAAGCCATACGACACCTCAACCACAACACTTAAACACACACAACACAGTCCACAGGACGCACTCAGAAGCTACCCTGCAGCTTCACAAGTACTCTGTTTAATCTGCACTGGTCACTCCACTTCATTGTTATTGATATTTATGTTTAAAAAGTGCAATACTGTAATTTTCTGCTGCTCATTCCTGTGCAATATCCCACCTGCCCCCCATCATATTTCTTTTCAAGATTTTCTTATTTAATCACTAGTGTACATATATTAATATTTATAGATACATATATATTTAGTCATCTTTTCTCTTTTACCGCGTCTCTCTAATATTTTGCTCTTTACTATTTTTCTATTTATTTATTTTTTATTACTTTATTTTATTTTATTTTATTATATTTTATTATATTTTCTTCTACTGTACCATGCTGCTGAGTGACTGCTGCTCGTCAAACACATTTCATTGCAATGTTGACCCTGTGCTAACTTGCATATGACAAATAAAACTGAAAACTGAACAAAAACCTGTAGGTGTTCCTCAAGGGTCCGTTCTCGGGCCTCTTTATCTCCATGCTTGTTGCTTCATAAAGTCTCCTAACATCAGAGCTGAAGATATGACTGATATGGTATATGATATGGTGAAAATCTATGTATGTGTTGTATATATATGGACAAACTAAAACACAACAATAAGATTCTGTACTCTCTACATCACAAAACTCTGTTTAACCCTTACATACTGTTCAGGTCAGACACATTTTGACCTTTGACAGCAGTAAAATACCCTAAATTTTATTATTTCAACCTGAAGTTTGATCACCTTTCTCATAGTGATCTAAAGGTCATATACATATATAGAGGTTATATACATTGAGCCTGTTCCGAATTGAAATTGACCAGTGTTTACCGAGACGTATTTTAGATCCACCCGTCTGAGTCAAATCAAGGAAAACAGTGATTTGGAATCTTTAATCTTGAGACCGGCACCAGCTGGACACGACCATGGTTACATTCTGCTGCGATATGAAACCCATTACTTCCTGTGGCTTGTG